GAAAGCGTTGGAGTGCATGACAATTATGCATCTGGAGTAAGTAAAATATATGAGAAGAAGATGAATGAAGATAATATAGAATAACCATTGACGAAGTTTGCAACTTGATTCAAGCAACAAATTTCAGAATAGAAGCAGGCTAAAATTCGACATGAAGCACCAAAAAAAGTACAAAGTGCTATTCTATCACTTTTGACAGTGGAAACATTATTTCAATCCCTTGCTAGTATCACCCAAGAAAAATATAATTTGAAGTGTCTAAACAGTCGAGTCCTGCATATTTGACTTGACTCAAACCGAGTTGAGTCCACGATTCGGTTTCGATCTATGATACAAAATGCCCAATTTGTTTATCTTTTTGCATATTGCTACAAACGATCGAAATTTATTGGCTTCTAAATACCGAGATTAGAAAGAAATGCTTTTTCTGAAAAATGACATCTTACCTGAAGAGTAACTATTCAAAAAGTGTATATAGAATTTTATTCTTCTTTAAGTTTTAGCTTACGATAATGTATAACTTAGTAGAAAATTAAATGCTGTACGGCACTGAAAAGTCACAGCTATTCTAAAATCTTATTCAGAGAAGTTATGAATAATAGACAAAATTCTAATTTGCTTAGTATATACAACATTTCTGATTTTATTTAAATATTTGCTCATAGCTGACAACCAGAAGTTGGTAACAAATTCTAAGCATACATTTAAAAAGAATATCAGAACATGAAATTTTTGTTCTAACTCATTGTTTTTGAGCTTGTTCAATAAGACCTAGATGTTCACAAAAAATGAGCAAGCATATTTGTCAATACATCTTAATTTAGCTTTTTGTACAAATGCCGATTTTGTCTTCCATCAAAGAGTTGTTTTCAACAAACTAACTTTAGGGCAAGAAAAACGACACTATTAGATATGTGGTGTAAAAACGTTTTACACGTAGTTTAGGTCTTGATCATAACTATGATCGAATAAAAAATGCATCGATTTTAACATCAAAATGGTTAGTAATTTATGATCATTTATTCTGTAAAAGATTCGATTAGATCATAAATGTTGAAAACCAAATGGAGACCGAAAACACGATTTCATCTAATACAGTCATTAACAAAAATTGATTATTCATTCTTTGATAACAAATTATAAAAATTTTATTTAATCGAAAAAAAAACATGTTGATTGTATTGCAAAAAAAAAATTTATATCGTTGTATTACAAAGGTTAATCTTAAAAAATTAAAACAATAGTAACTAAAATATTAAAAATTATGATTATCGAGGAGCTCGAGCATTTTCGATTTGTTTTGCTGCAACGGCAGATAATGCATTAACATTAACATCTATAAGAATAAAAAGATTTTTTTTAAATCTATATTAAACGAATTATTCTACCTGATGAATCATTCATTTTAGCAAAATGTGTATTACCACCTTCAGAATATTGTTTTAAATACATTTCTTCATCAATTGTCAATGGTTCTCCAAGTTTTCTAAGTGCATCAAGAATTTCTTTTTTTTGTCGAGCACCTTCAACGCCATTTATTTTACCAACTTTTGTATCTCGTTCAATCTAGAATAATTTTTTTTTTCATGGAAATAAAAATGTTTTTTTATTGTAAATACCAAAAATATTTACTTCAGCTAAATGATTTCGTAATTGAACTGGCTGTTTTTTAGCAAAAAATCGAATAACTTCCGGTGTATGAAATGCTTGACTTATAGCACATTTAATAGCCTGTATGTAAAAAAAAAAATACTTATGAATATATGTCTAATGTTATACACATACATTTTGAATTCGTTGTACTTCATCAAGTAATGATAAACCACCTTCACCACTTTTCATTCTTTCTAATGATTTACTAAATTCTTCTAATTGATCAACTGTGTCTTGTCTTGCTTCATTATATTCGTTTTCATCCATATCATCTTTATTTTGATCTAAATCAGTTAGTTGATCAAGTAATCGTTCAAGTTGAGCATGAAGATTATTCCGTAATTTATCTGTTTCAGCTGACATCTTAAAGAGCAAATGTAAAAGAAGATTATTTATGCTTATCAACATTTCTCAAAGAAAAAAAGAAACAAAGAATTAATTGCAGACTTTATTCTACTAAATGATACAGAAAAACAAAAATACAATTAGTGCTGCGTAAGTGCTGTTGGCATGTGGCTAGAATGTAGTCAAACATCGTGGAATTACGATCTAAAATAAACAAAACAAACTTCATTTTACCAGCCAGAATAATATATCCAATTGTTGGATACTGCTCGAACTCATAGTATGATCACGGATAGATATCTACTAATGGTTTTAGTGATATTTTTTACCAAAAAAAAAGACTTTTTTCGTAAAACTCAAAACAAAGAATTTTGACCGGAAATTTTTTCTAAAGACAGATTTAATAATCATTCGATAACAAATATATCTTTCTTAATATATTCACTTTTCAAAAGAACAGTGGTTTAACTATAAGAGGATAGAGTAATCGAGTTTACATGAAAATTGAATATTTCGAGAAAGACATGTTCGTTATTTAGTGACCATTAAGTCTGCCTATAGACAAAAATTTCAGGTCAAAAGTCTTTTGTTGTGTATTTTATGTAAATAGTTTGTTTTGAGTAAATATTTCATAAAAACGACCATATCTCTTCATCAGTAGGTAGATAAACCCTTATTCTTTTTAGCTTTTCTTAGTCCTGTCAGGACCTACTCATAGCAATTATATGAAATCAAGCAACACTCAACAATTGGATATGTTTCCTTGCCAGATAAAAGCTAGTAGAAAAGATTTATCATTCACACCAAGCTTAATGGAATCTAGTGAAAAATTAACCAATAGCAGTAGCACTCCATATAAAACAGAATTATCGCATTAATATTTTACCCACTAGTAGGGCCGAATAAGACCATAAATAGACTAAAAGAATAAGAGCTCATAGACTTTTCTTTTCGATTCATTATCATTTTCTTAGATTTGCCATCTATCGTAATCGATGAGTCGAAAAATCAAATTACATATTTTCGATTTGAAACTTTGCCCACGCATAAATCTTTTGACTCGTATAACAACCTACGTGTTTCAGCCACTACCAATGCTTCGTTCTCAAAATATTGAGTTTTTCGAAAAAAACACCTTGTATATTGTCACATGTTGCGAAATCGACTATTCTTGTGATGTCAACATTTTGAGAAAGAAGCGTTGGTAATGGCTTAGACGCTTAGGTTGCTATAAGAGTCAAAAGATCTATTTATGGAGAAATTTTTAGATGACAAGCCTCTACTTTAATTCTTTGACTAATCTCGTACCGTATACGATAAATTTAGTAAAATGATTATAAGTCGAGAAGAAAGACCAATGCGCTCTTATCACTGTAGGCTGTTTCTAGTTTCATTGGATCCTATTTATGAGCAAAATATTAGTACTAAAACTCTTAATTACTTGGAACAGTTTCCTCGTAAGTCGAGAATAGTATTTTTTTGATGATGTGCAACTTCTAACAATAGAACATTAAGAATAATAAAATAATGTTGCATATAAAATGGCATTGAATTAGTAATTTATCAGAGTAACAAAGTCTACCATGTTTGAAAGGAACCGCTTGCACTCCTTTGTTATGGAATAATTTTTTTAAGAGGTGAGCTACAAAGAAAAATGACTGTCTATTCATAATAAACAGCATTCAGATATCAATTTTATTTTTTGATATTTAAAAGATTAGAGATCAGGAGAATAAATTTCTGAAATCGTTCAACGATCTATTTCCATTGTAATATATATATATATATATGAATGAGCAACTGACTTCATAGATTATTATTTCAAATTATTTCTTGCAAAATTGATCCATTTTTTGACTCTAATATGCTACTAAATCATAATCGACTTCATATGAACCAATTTTCTTTCGTCTTTTGGCTCCTCTATTGAAAGCAACATATTGCCAAAGGAGATATCGCCCTCAATTTAATCGTTTTTTACTCGACTATCTTTTGATCTGGCATCCACATTAAAAGTCTTTCTACAAGTGAAAGATTAGATATTTTTTCCGTAGGAGATTTTTTTATCATTATAAATCCAAAAGAGCTTGAAATTAAACCAGAAATTAGATTTTAAATAAAATCATTTCAAGTTTATCATTAGTTTGAATATTGAAGAACAATAGGCAGAAAGACAAAGTTTTACATCAAGAAAATAGAACAAAGTCTGTGTTTCGTGATCAAACAATATAGTAAAAACAAGAAGACTCGAGAGATGAATAACTATGATGAATTTAATGGAAAAAAAACGAAAGTCTGCACGATATTTACTGTGTTTTAATGAGAACTTGTAACCTTCATTCAACAGTCAATTGACACTCTGAGTACTCGACTCAGACATTCTATAATTAGGATTTTTTTTTGTATTATAATTTTGTCTCAAATGATTTGAAAAAGAATGAGAAATATATAAGGCAATAACACATACATTAAAGTCAAATATTTGCATTTGAGCACAAATTCTATCAGTTTTCTGGATTGAAACTTGGAGTAGAGTTTTAATTAACTAGATGCATAAAAGTGACCTATGTCTCCCTCAAATTTGATACTATAAAAATGTTTATGAAAGATTCTATTCAAATCAATTTGTCATAATTAGATTATATTGAAATGTCGACTAATTCAAACTCTTCACAATTACATTGAACGTGGTATGAAAAGTATTTTACTCTCTTTCTACAAGACATAAAACCTTGAAATGATCAATTTATTATCTTATCATATACATCAAATTATATGTTTTGCTAATCTTGGTAGAAAGAATATTATTAAAAACATACCGTAGATGAATGAATGCCATCGGTGGTGGAATGAAATAGTGAACCATTATGACTAGACTATCGTAACAACGGACGGTGATGAGATGCTGATCTAAAACCCAATAATATATAATTTTTATTTTATTTTTGTTTTCATAAATAAATAATCAAATTTTCTAAATGAAAAAAACAACACCAAAAAGTTTAATGTAACCTAAAGCGAATTTGTGATAAAAATAAAAAGAGCAACAAAAGACCAATAACAATTAAAAATGAAACAGAAAAAATATTTGTTTGTGGCGGATGTACATTATGCACATAAAGATTTTTGTCCGCACTTATACTTAATACACTTGTTTCATATAAATAATTTTCTTCACGTAAAATAAAAGCTAAATCGGTTACAAATATTGAATGTGCTCGATGTTCATATAATAATTTTAAACGATTACTTTCATATATTCGTACACAACCACCTGAATCACCAACAGACACATATTGACCACAATTACTAACCGCTATAGCTGAGATTCGATCATATGAAACAAGAAGACGTTGTCGAACAATAAATTGACGTTTATTTTCTGTCCATTGAACAATATAACTAGCTGATTTATCAACAATAGCTTGAGGTATAAGACTTGTATATAAAAAATATGTTGCATTTGATGATGATGATTTTGGTACAATACCAAAACGAACATGTCGAATACGATAAAGTGGCTTTGGTGTTTTTGATGTTTTATTCATACCAAATTGACATAAATCAAGTTCATCATGTTTATCAAATGTTGATGTACATTGACGAATTTGAACATGATAATCACGTGATACACTAATAAGCCAAGTTCCAAATGGATCAACAGCTAAATCATCAATTTCTTTCTTATGTGCTGTAAATGATGTTAATAATTTTAATTGTATTAAACGATCTGCTGATGATGTAGCTGGCCAAATTATTTCATAGATTGTTAATGAACCATCACTTGCACCTGTAAAATAAATTTATTACAACATTTAGGACATACTAAAGGTAGTGACGAAGATATTTTCATTCCTTAGAAAAAACTTAGAGAAATTTTATCTGGTTTAATAGGAAAAACAATGCTCTCATATTTGATCATTTTTCAACTACTAATATTATAATAAAAAAAAACTTCGAAAAGAGTTGTTTGGATAGCTCCTAGGCTGAGATCATATATGTTCTAATAAGTTCATTACTTTTTACATTTGGTTTTAACTAACTACAATGAGTATTCAATTATCGGTTTAATTGTTCCATCAATCCATCCATGCCTACCAAAGTGAGTAGACGAACTCGGAAAATTTCTTATGGAACAATGTTTTGCCAATTAAAAACCGTCCCATATTCTCTTCGATGCGTATTCTCTTCTTGATTTTCCTTTTCTTCTCATCTCCTGTAATACATAGCCGTTAAAATATATTAAAATAAAACAAAACAAAAAACAACAACAGAAACAAGTTCGTCAAGTTTTTACTTAAATAACCCTTAGGATCTGACACCATATATGATTTTTGATTATTTGACTTTATCAAACAAAATCTAGGCAATCAAAACGGTTCAAAATTGTTGAATCGTGCTGTACACAAGTTCATGAATTCTTTGAATAAATAAGTGTACATGAAAAAACATTTAGTAACAGGAGTATCAATGACTATGGCTATTATTTAAAACTTTTGATAACATAAAAACTTGACAAACTTACGTCTGAATTTCTTTTTTGTTTTATCATCATCACTGTTTTTGTATACACTAATAAGTATAGATAGCTAGGGAGTAGAGGAGACGAGAAAAAGAGAGAACAAGAACAAAGAGGTACATATCGAAGACGAAATGTTATCTAATGCTTCCCTCACATCTCATGGCGTAAAAATCGTTAGTTAAGCACAACCCTTCTACTTGAAGCTTTTTAACTCTTAGAAAAATTTGAGATATTGGTCGGAATCATGCTTCTCTTTAACAGTGAACGTACTTCAGTCGCCTGTACTAGCCACATCAACTGCTGTAGTTTACATTACAAGTTTGATTGTGTAGTACAGATAACGTCAGAAAAATTTTCATTAGTCGAAAGATAAAACCAAGCGAAATAATTGCATTTTCATCAAACGAAACATGCTGTAACTTATGCTTTCACGATAGAAGAAACGAAATTATTTAGACCAAATGATCAAAAATTGGTATAAAAAGAATAAACCATTGCTTTTGCTGAAAAACAGACGACGTGAGGTATATCAGGACAAACAACTCTTATCGAAATTTTATTATTATTATATTAGCTGAAGAATAATCAAATATCAAAATATTGTTTTTACTATCAGACTATTTAGACAATAAGTTTTTTCCTAAGATTTTTATACAGAATTATTAATATCTGCGTCACGAGTTTTGATATACTCTAAGTATTATTTACTAACCAACAAAAAGTTTCGATTGTGTAGCTGGACAAACTACAAGTGCATTAACATATTCTTGTTCTTGTATTGGAACTGTATAAATATTATTCATAACTGTTGCTATGCCTGATGGAAAACTAAATGAAGTTGAACGACTTGTTGGTGATTGAACAATTGTATTTTCATTTCCAAGAGCATCAACAGTTGCTTGTCCATTTCTATGAAGTACAACTGATGAACGATGTTGCATATTTATTGGATCTGTTACAGAGGATGTTGATGAATTATGTCGTCGACGTACATGTCTAGGTACTGGAGCAACTGGTACACTCTCTGGAGTATGTGGTGTTGAAGATAATACAGCATTCATTGCTAATCCACTATCTATATCACGTTGTGATGCTTTAAGCATAATAACTTTTAATTGACGATTCAGTGCTAATATAAGATATTCATGTTGTTTACGTAATGAAACCATTCGCATAACACTATCATGTTGTGTAAAACTATTCACATTTTGTATTGAACATTTAGTATTAGTTGGATCTGATGATTGATTTAAATAGATCCATTTTAAATCAACAGCATTTGTTACACCAGTTTTTGCTGTACCACCTCCACCTCCAATTGCAATCATACCCCAAGATTTTAATGGTTGAATACAATATGGTGGATAAGCCATTTCTTGAAGAAAACATGATGAAGTCAAATTTGATGACATGATTTTTATCTGCAAAAGAAAAATTACTGATTTGAATTTTAGTGTTTTGTTTGTTTTTTTTTTTATCGTCTCGAATAAGTTTTTAAAAAAATGAAGAAAAAAGAAAGAATGTTATGTCTAGATACATAGAGGTATAGAATATTATATATTACACAAAAACCATCAGCACCGTTTTAAAAAGAGAAAAAAGAACGACAAAACCAATTTTATGGTTTTGCGAAACTACGAAAAACTGAATTGAAAAGGCTGGAACCTCTATTTCTCAAAAAATCAATTGAACCACTCATAACAGATTGATGTTGTTGACCAGATGTTGATGGTAAGGAATTAATACGTTCATGAATCGATGGATCATCCGGTATGAGATAATCTATTTGATTAAATAACAAAAAATAAATAAATAAACAAATTTTTTTCTAAAGTTACCTTGTGGTATTGTTTCCCATTCATCACTATTTAAAAGATCAATTACATCTTTTTCAACATCATCAAACCAATAATCAGTAACATAGGCTCGACTTATTTCATTAACTTCTTCTTCCATCATATCAATATATTGTTGAGAATATACAACTGGTTGTGGTCTAATTAAAATAAAAAAATCCTTAGCGCAATCCTTGTCAGATTAAAATGTGAAACATGCTGTATCTTCTCTTGCTAATCACTGAGAGATTGTTTTTGTTCTATCCATCTTAGGACACACTTCTTCATCATCATTTTACTCGATTCCTCAGAAATACAATAAGAAAGTAGTTTAAGCATTAAAACGAAATGCTATTAATATACAGTTTGTGATCATATATCAATGTCTGTGACGCGAGCAATACTGTTGCTAAGGCGCCCATGATGGTCTCTGACTATCGTGTGCCATGGCCCGTGGAAAGATTTAAATTGTTACCTCTATACTTTTCAACAAAACTTTTATATCGTGTTTGATTAGCAAAAGAAATAAATAGAACAAAAAAATAATAAAATAAACTAACCGACTACGGTATCGCTTAAATGTAAGTAGTTTTAATAAATTTTCAAGTGTATGTGTTACATTTGAACTTTCTATTGGTATATCTTGTGATATACAACTAGTAATTATATTTGCATTTAATTTAGCAATATCACCACGAAGACGATCTGTTGTTAAATTATTATTATTGAATTCCCTAGAAAAATTTATTAGGTTTGTTTTTTAATTAGTATAAAATCAAGTGAAATATTAATTTTCTTACAATTGATGTAAACGAAATGGTAAAGCAATATGAAGATAAAATGCAATAACATTGATTAGTTGACAAGCATGTGATAAAGCTGAAAGTACTTCATATAATTCATGAGAAAGTGTTGATTGAAGAGAATCAGAATCAGGAGTTTTATTGTCAACCTCAGTTGTGAGAAGAACTAAAACAAAATAAGAAAAAAAAAACTTTATTTATTCGAATTGAGAAAGATGATATATTATTTAAAAATAATTAAACTACATTTAAATATATCATTGATTAAATGATTTTGTAGTAGAATGCAACTTACGAGGAAGCATTGCCAGCTGCTGAATCGCTTTTTCGATTGATCATGATGAATACAGAAAAGGTGTGTTTTAGTTTTGTTTTCTGATTTTCGATTGTTGAGCTATGAGCATAGAATCACTAGGAGAATCTGGATGATCGAACTTCGAGTTGAAATCTGATCATAAATACGCCTTACAGTCATTAGAAACACTCTAAAGTTTAAACTAGGACATACACTAAATTTTACGATGAAGAAAAGACAATAATTGAAATATATGATGAGTGACGACGGAGAAATATTAGGCGGCGTCATCATACACATGCATTCCATTTAGACATTCTTTCTTTCTGTAGTCACGTGTAACTGCACATGTGTTTCATTTTCCAGTATATTCAGGTATATTCGTTTTGTTTCTCTTTCTTTCTGTATAAATCATATATGTACTCTCCTGTAAATTCGTGTCGTTTCCGCATTATTGTATATTAGTGGAGAGATGGTATTTTAACTTAGGGTGCGATAAGTCCATACAAAGGGTTACTATATTTTGACTAACAATAGATTAGTACTTCAATTACTTTCAAAAAAAGAGCATGCCGATGAATACAATTTCTATTCGTACGGTAAGAAAATAATAACAATTGGCTTCGTAATGCGATAAATTCAAGAATTTTATTATGTGTAGTGACTAGTTGTATTATAATCCTGATACTATCTTGAAATGTCCTAGCAATATCTATAAGTAATTCTAATAGAGTTCAAAGTCACTCATACTCTGTCATACACATAGTCCGATCAGAATGTTAGTAATAATAAAATTACGTAGCATTCAACAATTGAACACAGTAGAGTTCTTAGTACATCAAAAATTTGAATTATTGTTATAGACATAGAAAAAACAAGTGCACTATCCTTTCAACCAATATCAAATGGTTTCAGTTCTAAAACCATTCCTGGTCAATGATTTCGACGTTCGAATTTTTCTAGTTCTAGGAGAAACTAGTCATTAGATTTTTGTTTCGGAGTTTCTCAATCGAAAACAGTTCGTATTTCTTAACATAATTAAATGACTCAATAAAAATATTTCATAAATGCAAAAACAAAATACTTCCTGAAATGAATGAAACTAAGTTGTTATCTAAATAAAATACATACGTTTATCAATTTGATAATCTCCATTAGCTGGTAAACATGAATCAACAATTTGATATCTATCTCCTCCAACACTTGGTAATTCATCATTCTCTGACCAAAAACTATTTGTTTCATCGACAATTGGTTGTTGAGCACTTGATAAAGCTCTTATTCTTGATGCAAGATCTCTAGAACAAAAAAAGAAAAAGAAGTATACAAGTTTGAGTTAATATTAAAAGAAAATATGAATAAGTTTTACTCTTTAATAGATGATACACGTTCAATAGGAAATATATATTTATAAACTTCATTAAGACGTTGTCGACGAATAACATATAATTTATTTTCTTGTTCAATTCGTAATTCATTTTTTTTTCGTATTTCATCATTCGATGAATTTAATACCATGTTGATTTCATGTGTTTTTTTCTTAATTAATTGTATTCTTGAATTTCTTTTTTCCACCCGTTGTTGAGTTTCAGTTTTAGCCTTTTTACCTAAATAATAATATAAATTGAAAAAATAAAATAAAATAAAATAAATATTTTTTTTTTTCTTTTTGTAAATTTCTACCTCGTTCAATTTGTTCTCGTAATCGTATTATAGATTGATTAACAAGATTAAGACGATTTTTTCGTACAAGAATTTCTTCAGACTAAAAAAATAAAATGAATTGATAATGTTAAATATTTTATATGAGAATTTGTTTGAATTGAACAAAAAATAAATTAACGAATATCAATTTCAGAAACCTTTTATCAATAAAGATGTTTCGTTCCGTCGTGCTTTGACTTATTTATTAATTATTATGAATATAATTATCTCAAATTTAAAAGGAAAGCCTCCTGGCTGATCAATTGCTTGTGAGTTAGGATTATGTACATCTTGTAGACTTTAATAAGCTATGAATATCGTGAAAATACTTCGAACGCTTAGCTTATTGATGTGAAGATACCATATGTTGACAATAATTTTTGACTCAATGATATACTTCTGAAAAGAAAAGTAATTATTGAATTTCGATTTGAAACTTGGCACAGATACTAATCTTAACAAAGATCGTTTATTGTGAAAATTTCAAGTCTTTTCATGTGCTTCTATATTGAAATAAGAAAATCGAATGTGGGATGTAACGGATTTCCAAGGAATAAGGGATCTCTGTGTATTTTAACGATATCTCTTTTAAAATCCATTTCTTCAGGCTTCATCTTTTTTTATAAAAGATGTATTTAGATAGAGACTATTCGACGGTCGATGATTCTTTACGATGAAAGAGAGCAATTTGGTGGATGAAAAGCTTTGCACTACAGTCTGCTGAAATATCTAATCATTTTCGACCAAGTAACATTAAATGACGCTCAATATATCTAGAATGTTCTTTCACTACTACTAATATAATGAAATGAGACCTTCAGAACAGATTGAACATTTCAACAGGCAGTAGTACGAAGCTACAGGCTCATCAAGTCACATAATAGTAGTATCAAGATAACTTCCCTTCTTTCATCGTCAGTTTCAAATCAAAATTCAATAATTAGTTGTCCTTGTAGGAGTTCAAATACTGATATCGGAATGAGTGTTTTTTTTTGTTCATATAATAATCGATTATCAGTTCTATGAAACACCATAATCGACTTTTTAAAATAAAATGATTCATTTTTAAGTATGTTCAGTTATTTAAGTATGACCAATTTTGCCTCTATTCGTTGACTTTCATACAAATTCTAATATAAAAAATTTGAAGCGTTGTGTAATATGGTAATATACCTAGCCGTAATAGTAAGAGGATACTTAAGCCCGCCTAGACTCTTATAATTAATATGTAATCATACGATCATCGTTTAAATCATCTACAATTTTCATAATAAGATCGTTCATCGCAGTTTATTAAAACTCTTTCTCAGCGACTCATCTGATTCAAACCGAGCAAAAATGGCCTTTACATCAATAGTAGTGCGAGCAACTGTCACTGTCTAATGTTTTTTCTCTTCTAATAAACTTTTAAAGTCTTTGTAAAGATTTTATACTTTACCATTTGACGTAGTCGAATTACTGGCTCCATTTTTGTTTGATAGCTAAAAATAGAATATAATCTTACATTTTGTTATTTATAGTAAACATTAAAACTTACTCGGCTTGTAATATCTTTTTTTCTATATTGAATTTTTTCAATAAAAACATTCGATCAGAACATCTAAAAAAAATATAATCGACTAAAAAAATTCGAATATAATATTATCTGTTATTACTGTAAATGAGCTGGTGTATTAATTGAATATTTATTTGAATATTGCTGAAATTCTTCATAATCATTTGAATTTAACATATTTATTAATGTTTGTCTTCGTTTATTTGAACACGTATCATGTTTTGATGGACAAAATCGACCTGTATTAACACATTTTGCACATGTTAATGTAGCATCGTCAACTATTTTTCGACATAAACAACATTTATATGATGATATACTTGTTTTTATATTTTCATGTATATTCATTGAAACTGCAGCTAAATGATCATCATTATGAATATCAAGATTTGAACGAATATTTTCTTTATAAGTTGAAAGTAAAAAATTATTTGGTGCAATTGTTTGTGTCATTACATTTAATGGAGGTGAAAGTAAACCATTTGAATTTGGTTCATCTTCACTATCCATATTTATTTTCTATTAGATCTAAAACGATAAAATATATTGTAAAATAAGCATTCATAGATATTCGAATTATAATGGGAAAACGTAATATCACAATATTATTGCAGAAAAAAATAAATTATGACTAATAATATTAATAACAAGAAGAATATGTCAATATTATTTTGTAGCATTGATCACAGGAAAATGAGTAAAAAGTTGAGTTATTGTCGAATGTTTTTTACCAATATTTGAATTGTTAGATAAATATTCTTGACGTTCTTCATTAGTTCTTCGTTGACCAATTGGTTCACCCATACGAACAAGTGTTTCCATAGAATTATCGGCATTATGTCGTAAATCATCATCCCATTTTACCATACCGGCTTTGAATACAGCAACTATAGTACTACCACCATAAGCAAAATAACCTACATAAAACAACATAAATTCTTTAATAATTAGCTTAAGTAATTTTCCTTATCACTATTTTAGCATATGTTTCAATTTATCTGTTATTGTACTTTTCCTCATTCACCCAGTATATTCCATTAGTTCTATAATGTATTTTTGGCGTCCTACAGAAATTTTGGTTCTGTCACTATACATAGAGAGTGTTTGTATGCAGTGGAGGTCGCTAGAGTCAATGCTATGTCCTGATAGTTTTATTTTTTCTCATTTACTGTAACAACACATTGTCGGAACTGTATTAATTTGCCTAGATATTCACCTTAACTTCATAATTTCTACATTAACATGAATACATGACACAATCTAAATCGTTATCAATCAATATTCTCATATCTTACCAAGTTCATCTCCTTTTTTAATTTTTTGATTAAGTTGAATAGTAAAATTAACTGACCCAACAAGTAATGCACCAATAGCAACAAAAGCGACTTTTTCAAAAGATTCATTGTCAATTGTAATTATTGTCCGTTGGTTTTTTGTTAAAACATCTATTTTTTCTTTAATTGCAATTGGATTAACAGTATAATACGTTCCAATTACTGTTCTCATATGAGAACCAATTCTTCCCCCAATTGGTGAATGATATCGATGATAATCAACAGGTGCTAAACGAAATATGGCTATAGAACCACCATCAAATTCATTTGCTAATTTTTCATCATTAAATAATTGTTTAAGAGAAAAATTACGTCCTTTTATCCAAATACGTGTTGCATCATTTATATTATCAAATATAATTAAACGACAATCAGCAGCCGAAACAATTATATTTGGATCATCTTGGCCAGCTATTATTCTAGCATTTGGTTTTAATTTTCGATAAAAAAATTCATTAAATGTTTGATAATCAGATATATTTGGGAGAAGTAATTCATTTAAATTAATTTGATACATTTTAACAAATGCTGGTATATGTTTAGATGATTTAGGATCATCAAATGCTTTACCTAAACGTGTTGTTTCACGAGCAAAAAAAGCTTTTATTGCATTTGTATGTAATATTTCACGTTGAACAGGACCACTAAATAATAAACGCATACCATATTTATGATATGATGGCATTTGTTCAAATGTTAAACGATTTGTACGACGATCAAGAACTTTGAATGCATATTTAACACCTTCATTACCTTCATAATTAAAAAACTGTCGAGGTAATTCGTGTTCAAGATGTTGTTTAATTGACTCTTGTGTTGGTACAATTGAACGAAAGAAAAAAGCATACCAATCTTTTGGTACATATGTATGTTCAAAAATATTTCCAGTAGCAGCTGGATCATCTGAACATGTTTGATCGATCATATCAGAAAAAGCTGTTTGACATTGACGCATTTCTTCATCATTAATTGGTGGAAGTTCAGGTTCATCGTCTGGTAACAACGATAATTCTTCATCATTACTTGCTGAAGTTATTTCGTAACCAGTTTGATTCATTTAACCTGCAAAAGGTTTTATATTGCTCTGAAATATAAGAAATTTTTTTTTCTCTATATATATGTAAAACAGAGTAATTAACTTTGTAAGATGAAGTAAAATGGGTCTGTTTCTTCCGTTTAAATATTTTCACTATATTCATCGTCATATGATGACTATATGAAGAAGAAAAAAGCTACTTTTCCTTTCGTCTCAAGTCTATAGTAAAAAAAAATAAATTTTCATAATCTTTGAGATTTCTTTTTTTTGAAAAAAAAAGTCACGTTTTACAATAAATAGATCAATTCTGTTGTGTTTGCACAGGATGCAACGTGTGCGTAATGAAGAGAAAAAGAAACAAAACATCAAGAGAAGAGTAAAAAACAAACACTAACAACAGAAAAGAAAAAAAAGTATATCTTTTTTCATTTTTTTTTTAAACAAAAAAGACAAGAACACATCTGTAATAATAATAATAAGACAAAAAAAGAGAAGAAAAAGAGAGTCCATAAACAACTGAACTGACATAACTACACAGAATATATAAGTTTTATATCGCTTATTCGCATCATTTTATAATCCAAGAGATCAATTTAAAACACAAACAAAAAAATACGAAGGACCGGATCGGAATTTTTTTTTTTAAAAACAAAAACAAACAAAAACTTAGAACTCATTCGTGGAGAACTTGAGCGATGTGTTGCTAGAAACATTATCATTCCGATAAACGAACAAAATAATATGAGACAAAAATGCAGCACCTATATAGGAAACTTAGACTAATCTTCATATTTATATACTGTCTTAAAATAAAAGAAGAAAAAATCAAGACAAGAGTTTAATGTATAAGTGCTTGTTCAGATGGTGTTGGACATCTTAAGGAATTTGTTGACGATGATGATACAAGTGCTGCTGTTGTATTTGTTAATTCGGCACATAGATCATGAAAAAATTGTTCTGTTTCTTCAAGTGTTGTCGTTTCAGATAAATGATTATTATTATTATTATTATTGTTATGATTATTATTTTCATTTAGAATTAAATTTTCTGTTGAAATTTTTTGTCTTCGTTCAGCACCAATTGCACGTTTTAATAATAATGTTACATCAGTTTCTTGTTCAATATCCATTGTGTCACATGTTGAATCATTTGTTTCATTATTACTTACAACAGTTACTATATCAGAATCAATATCCATATCAATTTCATTAGAATCACAATTTTCATTTAGATCAAGTATCCATGAACTGTTATTTGAATCATTATTTGTTAATAATTGCTGTTCAGAATTGATTATTGTTGATACTGGTTCATTTTCAATTTTTTTCAAAAAACGCCAAACTAATAAACGATTTCGTAAGGATGCTTCAATAGGACGTTGACGCTGACTTATTGTTGAACGTTGTAACTAGAAACGAAAATTTTAAATTATTAGTATTTTTGTTTTGTTTTGTTTTTCTCTTTTGTTTTTTTTTTATTTGACACACCTTTTCATATGATAATAAAATATACAATTGCGATAAATCAGCTGGATTAGCCATAGTCATAAGATTTGTAACTATCTCTAACAAATGTAAATGGAAAATGTCAGATTTTTTTTTGTACTTGCTTAAATACAGGAAAAAAAAGGAAGGAAATATAAATAAAGAGAAAACGTAGGTGGAAGGAAATTTTTTGATGAATCATCATTCAGATAGGCACAAGACCTTAACTTAATCTAGAAAAAAAGAGAATGATGGAGATATAATAAACAAGTAAACAACAAAATTTTATTAAATATAAATGTATGTTTTTATTTTTATATTTATTAATTTGATGAAAAAATAAAATGTAAACGATTTTTTTCGATAAATAACTATTAGATAATGCATCTATGCACTTTGATGATGTTTGGTTCCTATGAAAATGATATGAAATGTACATTTAAAATGGCGATTGGTTTGCTTTCTACACTCTAAAAAATGCCATGCGTCTTACAAGACGGTGCATCCAGCTATGTCTACTTTAGACGCATGTTAGATGTCTGATATGTCTTATTCTTGAGACGCACGAGTGTCTAAAATTGGTCATCCGTTGACGCTTGAACCGTTTAAATTAGAAGTGAATCAACCAATCAGCGTTAGCTCGAGCGTCTTACTAAGACGCTTCAACGTCTTGATTTTTTAGAGTGCGTAGATATTAAACGATTAACAAGGTATAATCGAAATAATAATGGCAATGAATAATTTGTTGAATGCACCAAAATTAAGATCTTAATAAATGAATACATTTTCAACAGAAACAACCAAGCTTTTATAGTTTTATTATGTAGAATTTCTACAAGATTAGGATTTTTTTCTGTAATTATACTCAAGATCAGAACGTAGGATATCTTATCACTCGATTCGAGTATTTCTTATCTCGATTCGATTCTGAATGGATTCCAATCTCGTTCTCATGGTTTCCAAGTGTAACACGATGAGCTCTATCGATTCCAGGGGTCTTTTCCCCTCATACGCCCTCCTTATCCCCCAAAATTCCTCCAAACCTGCAAAAAATTCTAAAATTGCCAGAAATACTCTAGCCGATTCGCTTCCAAGCCGATTCCAATTTCATTCTCATGGTTTCAAGATGTAATTCGACGGGCTCTATCGATTCCACGGGTCTATTTTATTACAAGACCCTTCCTTACCCCCAAAATGCCCCAAAACCTGCAAAAATGCTAAAATTGCCAGAAATACTATTGCCGATTCGCTTCCAAGCCGATTCCAATGGAATTGATGATGATTCTAGATAGATTTCAACTCGCTCTATCGATTACACACCTCATTCATGAATTTGGATTGTGTCTGTGCTTAAAAAGTTGCGAATCAGTTGATTGTTGGTAACCAATGATGTTTAAAAACGAAAGTTGTTGCACTTTGCAGGTTTGTATGTTATTATTAGGAAAACAAAGAATGATTACAATATAGAGCAGAATTTTTGATGGAATTTATCGCAAAGAAAATAAAATTAATAAATAAATTAATAAGTGAAAATTGTACTAAAAAAGAAAATATTTTTTTCACTTTCTTAAATCTTGAACGATAAAATTAGTATTATAGAAATTAGAGAGATGATCAATTTTGTAAAGAAAGAATGTATGATTATAATTTCCATGT